GGGGGGGCGTAGCGAACTGCTCGGTGATTTTTTCGGCAGAACCTGCTGAATTGGCAATTCCTTCAGGAGACGAGATGACTTGCCAGTTAGGCAATGCAGCATTGATCAAAGCAGTTGGTGCCAAACGCGTAGATTGAGGCTAGAAGCTATTTAGTGGTAGATGAGTGGTACCCACAAGAAAGTAAACGACCACGCGGGCGACTTCCGAAGAAGTGGCGCACATATGTAGAACAGGCGACGGGTACTGACTGGAGGTATGCAGCCCAGGATCGAAGGTGCCTGGCTTAGGGTGCACTCAGTATCCGAGGACCTCCCAGTAGTATCACTTATAGGAAACACACATAATGATTGTCCGAGTGGTCTTGGTATTCCTGGTATAAATGTGCTAAGGTTATGATGTTTTTTTTCCTGGGGGGTCCACGGCAAATGCTCAAATACTTCACCCAGAAACGGTGGTTATTTGTATAATTGGGCGGACACCGGTGGGGAGAATGCGTTATTCGAGCATTACACGAGCAATGCTGGTTATTTATTTGTATCAGCTGCCATTACACGAACTCTGGTGGCGTATTACTTGTAATCTGATTTTTTGGTGGATATCATTACGTAATGCGTTTTGTCCATCTGTTGTCTCTCTTTCTTCTTGCCATATGATGTACATTTTATTTGGATCTGGGGGTCATCTCTCTTCTGACACCTTTGCAGTTGTAACGAATTCTACAGCACCCAACTCATTCCTAGTTCATCCTTTTGAATAGGGGCTGGGAAGATGGGGACGGTGTTGGCAGGTCGTTTTGCAGTTTGCCAAGGGATTCAGACTCTGCTCTTCGTGGGGATCGGAAATCTCACTCAGATCGAGGTTTTTCTTGCAAGATTTCCCAGATGCACCTGCTCCCGTAGCTGCGGATTGTGGATTTCGATTATTTCGTCCTACAGGTGCCGAAAACACAGGGAACAGAATGCCAAGTGCTAAGTAGTAAGCCTACGAGTTCGCGAGCAGCTGTATTTTAAACTCTTTCATGAAAATGCATCATGAATTTTTCTCGCCTTTTTTTTCAGGCTGCATGGTGGCGTTTGATTCGCACATCTGACCAGAATTTCCGAGAGAAAATCCTGGCCCGTCTGTTGCAAGCATCGAAGAATTTCTTGAAGATGAGTACCTCTTTCAGGTATATTTGCCTTTTTTTGGCAAAATTCAATGCTTTTCTTGTAATTTGATATAAATTAGAGGCTCCGTAATCAATTTTAATAGAGAAAAGCTTCCTCTTTATTCTCACTGCTATCCTAAGATATCGGCTGATGCTGTTGCGGATTATTGAGAACAAGAGTTCAAATCCATCTCGGCAATCAAAAGGGAAACTCCCATATACCTAGAGCAGCAGCTTGTATCAACAGCATTCAGCCACCGGCAGATCTGTCACCAGCTCCTCTTCGGAAGGCTGTTCAGAAGGAAGTTGATGGCTGTTTTGGATTTCCTTGTTCTTTCCGCATCAGTACCATTCCATACGTTCGAGCTTGTGAATAGGTCCAGGATACGGATGATTTCCTTATTTTTTTTTTTTTTTTTTTAACACACTGTAGGCATTTCGTTTCGTCTACCTGTTGTCTTTTTAGTACTTCATTTGTTATAAGTCTTCCTGTTATCGGCCTTCTAATAACTTAGGCCGAACTTGAAGACAAACAGCGATTAAATTTAACTTTTTTTTTGGCTAAATTTGACTTCCTTTACACATTTTCCTCCACATGAAGCATTCCTGATATTTTCCGCACTAGTTTCTCTGTTTGACCTGTGCTTCCGGCTACTACACTGCGTTATTTTCACTTTGCTGAAATCATAATTTCTTTAATTTCATAATTTTCGCAAAACGCTTCTTTTTTTCAGCTCAAACGTGAGCGCTACAGCAACGGCACTAGAAACATTGGAAAAATTGAAAGATTTGTATTGCGATATTGCACAGGTATATTATTTTTATGAAAATTGATTCAGCTAGCTTTTCTCTTCTTTTCGTCTGTTTTGGGCTTTTCACATTCTCGTAATTTTCGAAATTTTCATTTTGATCCTTGCAACTCATTGCCGACTTTTCCAAACTAGCAGTTTTTTGGGCAATATCTTAGATTTATAAACGAAAAATCCATCAAAATTTTTGAAAGAAAAATTGTTTTCTCTTGTCCTTTTAGTGTCAAAATTTCCCTGGATTCTCTCTGCACGAGAGGCGGAGGCACGGGGGGATAGTTTGAGTTGTAACGCGTGCTACAGATGAGGAGTTGTGTCGTTTAATTTTTTTTATAAGCGGACTGTCGACTATTAGGCATGCCCCAATATCAGTTTATCATCAAAAATTGTAGAGGGATTGATTATCTCATTTGTGGAGTTGAACCTCTGCTTTCTCGAATCCAAGATTAGCTTCCCTTCCAAAACTCCATATCCGCTTGCAGTTTTTGCTGTGCAATATATTTAGTTATCTTTGCAGGTCCCGGTGCCGGAGAGTGCTCGCCTGGTGTATCACAAAGCAAATCATATTCAAGTGAGCAAATCGCAATCATATTCGAACAAATCGTATTTGATTTACATCATAAAGCAGATCAAATCATAGTGATTTTTTGGTGATGTGTTCCCCACTTAGATTTGTCTGTCGGAGCCAAAAGATTTTCCCAGATATATCGTTATTTCGACTTTGTGAAGGAATAGTAGTAATATCCAAGCAAAGCGGTGCTTGAGGAGTGTACTTCTTAAGCTAATCCCTTTTACCTAGCAATGCTAGGAAGTGGTGCAAGTTCGCGTTTATGGTTTGGGATTGAAGGCTGTTATCGAACTTTTTCAAGAAAACACTGTTTGAGTTTGGATGAACGGCGTAAGGATTTGAAATATGAGTTGATCTTTGGCCAAATATGGGAGGGAAAACGGTGTCAAAACTTGGGCTATGAAATATTAAATTATACCCACTGGTCACCTTCTGTTTACCGCTTGCAAAATCTTGTCCCGTGACATTTTGTGAGTTGAAATTGTTATGTTGCAGATCGCTTCAATATGGTCAAATCGCGCTGTGCAGTTGAAGAAGATTGTAAAAATGCAACGCATAAGTACAGTGGTACCAAAAGCCGGTGAACCAAACATATTGGAGCGCATTTCCACAGTATCTCTGCCATTTGCTAGCACTGAGTAAATTTTCTTTTGTTTTTTTGCAAAATTTATTGCACTATTTATAATATATGTTTGTGTTTGAGATTTATATGCGTGTGTGTATGTGGATGTGTGTGTATGCGTATGTGTGTGTGTGTGTGTGTGTGTGT